GAGGAGGAGGGGGGTAGAAAAGAGAAGGGTGAAGGGAGGAGAACTGGGGAAAGATTAAACCTCGTAGGGTCCTCAATGCTCACCGGCAAACCCACGAGTCACTATACCAACTGAGCTAAGTACCCAGAGGGCCGATCAGTGGTTGGCTTGTAGAGGAAAATGAGTTGAGGAGCAGGCGTTGTGTGTGTGTGTGTGTGTGTGGGCTTTAGACTGTCACCAGAACAAGCCCTTTTCCACCCAGACAAATAGATCCAAAAGTGAAACAGCCGCACCTTATAATGTAATGAACCCAGTCAGGAGAGAGTTTGCCAAGTGTCGAAATACAAGATGTTTCAGCACTGATGTCTCCAATGGTCATGAGATTTGATTTGTAATACGTCTCGGAACATAGGATGAAGCTGATAGGAGGGAGAATGGACTTAGAGGGTGGAAGGGAAAGTATCCATAAATGTCATTGTAGATAGATCCCCCTCAATTCCCAGTCCTCCTCGGGGCATCTCCCCACGTCCACGTCGGCGAACAATATCCCAGAAACGAGTCTGACAAGATCTGATCACAGCATTGTGCCACGTAGGCACATATCTTCCATGAAGACGTCTCTACAACGCACAATGTCGACAGCATCAACAGGTAAGTTTCCCTCTCTCTCACTCGATCAATCCCATAGTTCCTGATCTCCCTCCTTGCTGAATCCCAGTCTGTGTCAAGACGGTGTGGCATGCGTCACGTCAGCAATGCTGAAGACAGCGTGGCCAGTGCCACGTCAGCAACCAAGAAGACAGCTGGCGCCCCGAAGCAGAGGGGCGCCAGACGCAATGCAGCAGTCTCGCATCGTCGCCACACAATGCCAACGTAGTGCCAGCGTCCTGGCAGCGTCAAGCCAGCATCAAGCCAGCGTCGGGCCAGCGTCAAGCAGCAAGTGCACGACTGAATGTTGACCGCCAGGGGCTGGGTCAATGAATAATGTTGACGCCATTGACCAGCCTCTGGTCTCTCACATACAAAGGCTCAAATTGACTCACAGCTGACGGTCTGGATCACGTACAGTTACAGACTTCCACTTGAACCAAATGCTGCCTGGATACCTGCATACAACCAAGTGTGTGTGTCTGATCGGTAGCCTGGACTGGGTTCATGAGCCTCAATATCTCGAGTTACAGTTGACTTTTTTCAATCGTCGGGTGCAGAGCCTCGTTTCAGAGACTTTGTTTCCCACAGTCGGATGCAGGGCCTTGAGGCCGAACTGTGGCCTGTGGGTGGCCCCCTTGGCCGACGACATAGCCATATTCGAGTGGGTTTTTGCATTAGATCAAGAACTGTGGGATTGATCGAGTGAGAGAGACAAAAATTTACCTGTCGATGTTGTCGACATTGTGCGCTGCAAAGACGTCTTCATGGAAGATTTGTGCCCACGTGGCACAATGATGTGATCAGATCTTGTCAGACTCGTCTGTGGGATACTGTTTGTTGACGTGGACGTGGGGAGATGCAATGACTTGCTGATTCTGCAGCCTGCGACCCGTCGTCTCGAGGCTATAACATAGGTAGGCTGGATTCATAATTTTGTTTGGCTGAGGGCTAACCGAAATATCTTACTGTAGGGGAAATTCGTGAGGGACATATCTATAAATCTAGGAAAAATCCAGGCCCGTACTAATTTGAATTCCTACAGATACCCTAGCTGCGAATAACAGACACGAGCTACGGACAGATAGGCCGCAAGGCCTAAGCTGTTAGACTGGTCCTATAACCTATAGCCGGGTAGGAAGAGACCCGAGAGGCCGAAACGGAAACATTACGGGCCGATCCAGTCAGTCCGGTCTAAGTCGATTCTAGGCTAGAGTAGAAGTCTGTTCGGGGGCTTTTGCAGTTGGTACCGTGTACATCGCGCCTGCGTAACGCATGAACTGGTTGTGGTACAGCTTAAGCGTTGGAGGAGATAGACACAGCAGGTCCTTCGAAGCGTCGGCCATAGCTGGGACTTCGCTGTTCTTTGACAACACGCGGGGTTGTTCAAAGGTTTGGGCTATCTGAAGTTTGCTGGGAGCAGGAGAAGTTGGTGCCCTGCTGAGCCGTCCTCAGGAGTGGGGTTTCAGGGTAGCGGTGCTGCAGCCATAGCTGCAGCTTGTATCCTCAGAGGTCATCTTTGTCAGGAGAGGTGGTGCTGCTGAAGATCTTCATCAGAGAGGCCTTCTGGCACTTCATCATGATCAGAGCCTGTGACGCTGGTCTTCTTCTTCATCCTCTGAGAGGCGCTTGGCCTTAGGGGCCTATTATAGGGTGGCGCTTCCCTCTGGAGACAGTATTTGGGTGGCGTTGGATGTTTCAGGGACTGGGGGTAGTGATAGCGGTTACTCCAGGTTGGGGAAGAAGCGCTGCTCATTTCTGAGCAGCGCACCATGGTTCTGAGGTTATTATGGCAATACGAGACTCAGAGTTTAATAAACAATGGTGATACTGTGTGTGAACTATCTTTGCTTCATTGTTTCCTGGATGCGATCTACTCGGCTTTCCTTTGTGACTGGTTGTGAGGATTCTGTGGAGCGAATTGGACTTTCAATGTACTCTGTCATATCGCATGGTTAAGTCTTCCGTTGTGTTCCTCTTCCCCTGTGCGGTGTGATACTCCCATCCTCTTCCCTTCCTTCTGGGTATGTATGGGCATACCTGGAAGTCTATGTGAGTGAATGTTGGTCATCTGACAACAAGCAACCAAGTAACAGTTGGTATCAGAGCGATTGGATCCAGTCAGTGATACGGAGATGAGTTGGAGCAACTACCATCATCTGGCGAGACACTGGAGTTGAACGTCATAGCGATTTGTCATCTTCTATGTTGACAACAATGAGGGTGGTAGTGGTAAGTGTTTGGCGAGAAGTATTGGACAGAGGGTGATTCACTTTTGCTCACGGTTGCACAGAAGTGAGTGGTGATTGATACTCAGAGGCCTGGGAGGCTCTGAGGAGGCTATTTATAGCCTGGCGATTCATTTTGAACTGACGATTTGCAAGGTGGTGACCCCCAGAGGGTAGCGATTTTGGGATTGGGTCAGGATCCCCAATTCCCAAGCAGCGCAGTGCAGGTTGGAGCAGCGCTGCACTGAGTTTCTCTGTTATTGGCATCTGGGAGTCCAGATTCAGTGAACTTGTTAGTTGGGGGTGAAGCGCTACTGTGAGATCTACAGGATCACCGAGTTTCAAAGAATTTTGTATGTGGGAACGCTGGGAATAGGCAGAAGAAACTGGCGAGATGGGTCTCAGGAGACAACCATAGAGTTTCATCCTTCCGCTTCAGTGAAGTCCCTGAAGTAAGAGTGGCGACTCTGGGGCTATTTTTAAATAAGAGAAATTTGGCCTGTCGGTCTGTAGACAGTTGAAAAAATTCAAAATTATGACTATGAGACAGCCATAGCCAATTCTCCTACCTACTCACCCTGTTTGACCCTCTCCCAGACTCAATTTTCATATGTGACTGTTTTACAGTGTTGCGATTCATACTGTACTGTGAATTGGATTGTTCAGCGTCATACTGTCAGTAATAATTGAAATTTGAATTTTGCGCAGCCAGGCTAGGGTTAGTCATAACTTTGGTTCTGTCCGTTAGAACTCAGTTTTGCCTGTCTCTGGTAATTCACAATTCAGTGTTTGGTCTATGTCTGAAATCACACTGTCAGATTTGGTGTATTGAGTCAGTTACAGTGAAATTCGTACTTCGCCATACCTTGGGTATGACATACAGGGTCATCCAGTGGTAGGGTCAGTAGGGTAGGTCTAAAAATAGAACACCAGTAAATCGTTACATCGTGGTTATCTATAGATACCTGTCAGTCACTGATTGTCACTCTGTTTTACTATCAGCTACTTTTCAGTCCAAGACTACATCCTGTAATGTATTGATGCAGGATTTGAGGTAATTGCACTCAATTGATGTGTCAGGGCAGTGAATGGAAAATCGTGAAATTGATTTTTGTTGAGTTTGCTCTAAACTGACCCCTGACTCTCAAGCGGTCTGCAGAGACTAAGCGCTTGCCTGCTTGTATTAACCAACTTCTTTCTCCACTTAGACGACAACAATTGGGCGAGTAGTGAAGAGA